CCCGACTTTAACGGTAAAGGCAACGAACCTGGTCGCGGAAGACACTTATCGCAGATGAAGGCTACCTGCACGTGCGCCATAGACACTGATCGGCTGTCGTCTCAGTTTCAGTGCACGGAAAGGAGCAACGGTAACACTAAGCTTCCATAGTAAAGGTTATCTGGCCGTGGCAGACGCTAATCGTCGGCCGTCTCTCCCTCCGTCCACTCCCGTTCTGAGCGCCAGGATCGTTTTTGAAAAACGACACTAGTTTCTGGCTGCCAGAATCGCTTTTGAAAAACGACACTACTGATAACGATGCTGTTTTGCGGCCCTAAACAACAGCACCGCTCTATCTATGGGCCATACACAGTGATCGGGTGAAAGTACGTGTATACCTTTGGTCGCAATTACCGACACTCACACAATCATACATTATGGTAACTCTAAATAGATCGTCGGGAGAAGATAACAGAAGGCCTAGCGACGAACAGACAACTTCTGGTCAAAATTGACAGAATTCCATGAAATTCGAACTTTCGGAAGTTCTGAGCACCTCCTTTTCATGAATTTCGGCCAGAACGATCTTTTCCCAAATTTAATTATTTTCTACTGTTCGAAATTCATGGCACATTACCGTATATACTTACCATTTTTGTTTGCCTTGGAAATCAAAGAAACCTGGTTTAGATGTGTTGCATGGACCTTCCTTAGTCTACAACAGTTTGAAATATAAATGAATCAATTTACTTCTCAGGGCATATATAACGTAACTGCTAAAAACTAGAATATGAATAATATAAAGCAATGTTGTTTTACACTGTGCACCTAATACCACTGACTTGATGCTCACAATGGACAATACAGTATACATGTACAGATCACAGCAAACACAAATATAGTAAATCTTATTAAGTTAATGAAATACGACTACCATGCCATGAATTCTGGATGATTAAACTAAGCCCCAAAGATCAAATATTGTAACTCGTAGCATAGTAGCAGTGGCTCTGCACAGCCCTGTGAGACTTTGCATCAGTTTTTGGCCTTACATGCTAGCTACTGGTTTTAGGTTGGCTGGAAGAAAAGGAGCCTAAGAGGAATAAACTCCCAAACTGATGCGTACGTGAAGTGGCATTTAACTTCAAAAGGACAATAATTAAATCGCAAATAATATAGTATATGAGGCTATTTCTTCTATATATACCTAGCATGAAACTAGTAAGGCCGAAAACTAAACTACAGTAAGGATACCTGCCGTGTAAGTTGCCGTACTTGTGAAGTGAATTTACGAGGAAAGAATGTAAACATATGTTACCTGTTTAAACCGTGCATAAAAATAGAGCAATCTGTCACTGTCTAGTTTGCCAGCAATATTTTTGAGAAAGTTGGCAGCTTTATCAAATAAATCTTCCAAGTCGGCACCTGGATCACCAGCCATGTTGTATCGAAGTTAATTCTCTGCCCTTTTCGATTTCGTAATGTTGTGATCGGAGTTTTTTCCTTCCTCCACCTGGTCTGCTCTTCATGTGCCAAGATAGGCCACCTCAGGTGAGTGAGCTAGGCCAGGTGGGGACAGCACGCCCCCTGCAGGAGATCGTCACTATTGTGACATCACAACTGTCACAGATCATTGTCTAATATTCTGCACTCCGTACCGGACGTGTCTAGATTGACGATCCATCTACAATTCTATCAAAGAGCATAACAATAGACAGCGATCACTCACCAATTCAGTAAGTAGACACAGTGAATACTTTATTGGCGACAAGGATTCAAATTTCGGCATTTGGGGGGGGAGGAGTGTAGTGCAGTGAATACTTTATTGGCGACAAGGCATTCGTAACTTGTATATTTGCGGGCCTAAAGCTTAGTTTTCGCTGCGATCTAGCTGAAAGTAGTTTGCGCGGGAAATTCCTTTGTCTAACATCCATTTGAATAATTGGGTGGAGCGGCGGTCAAAATTGTTGTTTCAATTTTGGATCGTAAAGGTCACCGCATCAGGAGACACTGATTTTCCTGCACATCTACGTTATTTTTCAGTACTTACGTGAAAAGGTCGGTGATATAAAGGAGACGTTGGTCTCATTATCCTGTGCATTGTTACGATCTCTACCGAAATTTTCCAAGACTGAGGTGCACACGTAATACTTTGGTTTCTTTGTTTATTTAGTTTATTTAAAGAATAAAATACTGACTTCTGTTTTGTTGTTATTTATTCTTTTGTATTTTAGGCGGAATTCTGAATAGAATTTCTGTCTGATTTCAATTTATTGCGTTGTGTACCAAAGTCTTTGTTACCCAAATTTGAATTCATTGTACGTTTTGGGAATCTATTTATAGCGAATTTCACTATAAGCTTGGTAGTGTATTGTGCTTTGATAAGTGAAATTATTTTGAATCAATTTATTTTTCGCTTTCAAATGTACAATGGCGAGTGCATCAAGGTTGCCAGTCAATCGTGCTACTTACGATGAGCTCGTTACGCTGCCAGGTATAGGTCCTAAACGTGCAGAAAGGATAATATATGCTAGAGAACATGGGATCCCCGTGACTAGATCCAACATTTTGGAGATTTGTGGATCCAATCTTGGATCAAATGTAATTGAAAATCTCTCTTTTGGCAGTACTCACAGAAGTGAATTCGAATCTGAAGTCGACGTGGGTGACCTCGATTCTAGCATATTATCCACCGAAAAAAGTCAAAAACCCAAAATGAAANATCTGAAGTCGACGTGGGTGACCTCGATACTAGCACATTATCCACCGAAAAAAGTCAAAAACCCAAAATGAAAACTTCTAAAGTGACTTCCTATATTCATAATGAAGGAAGAGCGGCTGCTGAAAGCTATAGGGCAGAATTTGAAAGAATTCTCAAAGTGGGTGAGGAAATTAATCAACAAGAAAAAATTGCACGCAGTAAAAACATTCAAAAAGCTGCAACTTATTCTCCACCAACATATTTAAAATTAAAAGCTCGTTCAAAATCAACAACTGAGCAGCAATTTATCAAACCAAAAACAAAATTACGTTCTCACTCAGCTTTGGACCCCAGAACTTTCACTTCGCATCCAGCCACTTTAGACCCTGAATACGATCTTTTTGCTCTGCCTATTGAGAGGTTGCGTGTCGAAAACAAAGAACATCATGCAACTTCTTCCGCGCATGTAAAGCCTCCAGGCCGTGTCTTAAATTCCGAGACTGTTACTTCTTTACCGACTGGTAGGGAAAGTAGTCGGCGACCAGCTCCGTCTGTCCATCGGGTTGTTTCGAATTATGATCTGCCACAGATTCATGTTCCTACGCCCGGACGGCGGCAACTTAACGTTGAGCATGGTGTTGCTGATACAGTCGAACGTAAACATGATTACCGGCCGAGTTCAATAGAAAAACATCATACGCGCCATAGAATTTCGTCTCCCGTTTTCCGCGACGAACCACTCCTTCCCGAGAGCGATGACAGTGAAAATGAATATTTTAGAGTACCAAAAACAGTACGTCCTAAAACTAAAAAGGACAGAGGGGACCCCAGTGATTTACCCAAAAAATTGTCTTTTGATGGAAATTGCGAAAACTGGGAGTCTTTTAAAAACAGATTTGACAGTTATCGCCAAGTGAAAGAGTGGTCGGAAAATGAGTGTCTAGATAACCTTTTATGGAGTCTGGAAGGCGAGGCTTTGGCTTTGTATAACACCAATCTCAGAGCAAATAAAAACATGACGTATTCAGCCTTAATGAGTGAAATGGATTCAGTATTCGGAATTAAAAAACATCCCGATTCAGCTCGTTTGGCATTTCACACAGCAGTTCAATCTCCCAACGAAACCTTGAATAAATGGCTGTGCCGTGTTTTGTTATTGGCCAAAGATGCTTATCCTGATGAATCAGAATCCTTTAGAACAAAAGAAACAATATCTAAATTTTGTCCGGGCTGCATTGATCAGGATGCCGGGCGTTACACTCGTTTAAAACATCCAGCAAGCATCAGCGAGGCAATGACCTACATGGTGGATTATCAGCAAGTCTACAAATCATCACATATTCAAAAACCAACACGAAAAAATCGTGATGAATTACAAATTAGTTCTCTAAATCTAACAGCTGATGAAAATCGGCAATTTCCAACTGAAAATGTAGAACAACTTGTTGAATCCATCGTGGAAAAACGCGTTAGCCAGTCACCTAAATTGAATACAATTCAGTTTAATTCAATGGCAGAGTTGGAATCTATGGTTGAACGCTTGGTCCGGAAATTCACACCTAAAACAACACCTGTGTGTTTTTTCTGTAAAGGAAAGGGCCATTTTAAACGAAATTGCCTAAAATATAAAAAATTCTTACAAAGAAAAAATGCTGAAAAACAACAAGCACGGGCTGATATAACGAATCCAACTCATTTAAACTAGAAGGGTCCAAGGGAAATGACCGTAACCTTGGAAACCCGACTGAAACCGGTCACAAAACGGGTGAAACCATCGCGACTTCATTGTCTCAAACACGAACCGTTGACAATACTATCCCCGTAATGGAAACATTGCATCGTCCTCATCATTCCGAGTTAGAATGTGGTCAAAATCCTGTAATTGATGAACTTGGGGTTTTTCGATCTTCATTCGTTCCTTTGGTAGTGGCGGGTGTACATGTAATGGCCAAAGTTGACACCGGTGCGCAAGTTTCTGTCATGGCTGAAAAAATATTCGAGCAAATAAAAAATAAACCATCGCTCAAGAAATATTACAGTCTTACTCTTGCGGCAGGGAATACACAAATCGAAACTCGTGTTTGCGAGCCAATTTCCATCGAACTAGATCGTTTCAAAATCAAGGAATCTGTTCTAGTAGCGCCGATACATGACGATTTTTTGTTAGGCCACGATCTAATTGCCCAGTTTAATGCGAGCGTGCATTGTAATTTGGGTTACATCCAAATAGAAGGGCGCGACATACCTATGCAGCAAACGGAGTCGCGTGCACAAGACATTAAAATAGCTCGGGTTAGCGTTTCACGAAATGTAGTAGTACCCCCAAATTCAGCACTAAGGATAACGTGCGAGATCGACGAAAAGTTAGAAAAATACGTCGTCGAGGGTAAAGAAGAAGAGGGACTACTAATACCGAGAACTGTCTTGTCCGAAAAATCAAAACCAGTCGTGTGCCTCTTAAATCCATCAGATCAAT